TTCAAATAAATCTTTATTGACAGCTGTCAAAAGACGTCGTGTTCGATGATCGAGTATCGTACAGTGCGAGTACATAAATCGTGAGCTTTGTCCGAACATCACTTGCCATTGATACCATTGCACACTGTACAAGATTTTGGATCTTGGATTTGTGGATTGCTGCAGAGATGGTTGTCCTTCTGGAAGGTTCTTCTCTCTCCACAGAGGAAGGTTGGAGCTCTGACAGAGTGACCATCGGGTTATTGGATACCTCCCCCAACTGAATTTACCATCTGTGGACTCCAATTAAGCTACTGGAACATCTCAAGGATGATCAGTGGAAACAGAACGGCTTTGGATACTTATGTACATGTGATTTCTCAGGATTTTTATTTTTAATAATTTTGCAACAATTAAATTTTTTTAACCATTGTCATTATGGGGTGTTGTGGCTTAGTGGTTAAGGAAGCAGACTTGGGTCCGGAAGGTTTTGGGTTTGAGTCCAAAAGCTGCCAAATTACCACTAAGTCCACTTCCTTAACCACTGCCCGAAGGGATAAGGTAAGGCAATCATTGAGATATCTGAATATGAAAATGTTTTAAGTGAATCTGGAATTTGAGTACAGATCATAGCATCAGTGTTTCAAGGTACAATTAACATGTACTCACATCCAGCTTAGCAGGCTCCGGCGATCGATCAGGGACAGGTAGGCCAGCGGGGTCGTCAAACGGGTCCTCCAGGATTACTGTGTGATTTATCCTACAGTGTGGTCATCCTTGTTATCTTTTCTTTATTCAATTTTGTTTTGATGTATTTTTTTTTTTTTAAGTTTAGCGATCTTTAGCGTCTCATGCTACACCCACCTAATATCCTGAAACGGAACAAAGTCCTCGTCAACAAAGGCCTCGTTGATTTTAGACAAGACATCCAAGCCTTCTGTGACTTCCCCAAAGACAGTATGGACTCCATCCAGGTAGTCGATATTTTCGCTGGCGGTGATGAGGAACTAAGCAAACGACACGTGTTACACATGCTACAGGGGCAATGTTTGACTGACAACAATTCATTCATGAAACTCAGTTTTCTATCCAAGATGATATCATTTTTAAAGAAGACAGCATACAACTAAATTTCTTTTTATTTAGAAACGCACCAATACCAATGTGGCATCCTTCCGCTGAATGTACTCAGAAAAATGTACTAATCCAGCGACCAGACACTCCGAAACAGTTTTCCGATACAACAAGCACGGCTCTAGTCAGTACTTCGGCGGAACAAGCTGTTCACCGGTAATGGGCTCCGTGCACGGCTCTAGTCAGTACTTCGGCGGAAAATGGCTAGCTTTTACAGCCCTTGTCGCCTAGATCTGCCAACATTACCATATCAGATGTCCATAGGCTGGTAAGAATTAGCAACAGCGCCTCCGGATGACAACACACGAGAAACAAAGCAATATCTTTTAAACCGATATCCACCGTTAATTACTCAATTTTTACTCACTGATATATTTATATTACAATCGATAAACTTGTTTTTAAATCAATCTTATATTCGTATTGTGATTTATGAATAAAAAAAAAAACAACAAATAAAAAAACACTGCTGTTCCCAAATGTTTGGTGTGGGCGCAGGTAGTTAAAGGTAGCTAAAATTGCCGATTATGAACCCAAGTGTTTACGGTCGGTTGTGGTTATCCCTCCGGATCTTTTGCATCCGCTTAGCCCGCACTACAGAGTCAATGGGGGAAGAAGGGAAGCTGGCTTCCTAGTTATAATGCCACAAAACGGCGCATAACGGCACACAACAATGAAATGCTGATGCTCTCAACTTTTGAATCCTAAAAAACGATCATTGTTAAATGTTTCGAAACTAAAACTCTACTCTCAATTGTGCGTGGACGGTGCCATGCTCAGCGGCAGTGGCAGCTGGTGGACTTGAACCTGAAGCCTTCCGGACGCAAGTCCGCTTCCTTAACCACAACGCCACCATTGACCCTCCAACCATCAAGCCAATTAATTGAAGTATTGTCATACAACTATTTGTTGCTTTTGCATTCATATAATTACCTGAGAGCCATGTTGATCGTTTCCATCGTTTACCATTGATACGGTCCCTTTCTTTTTGTGTTTGATACGTGGCACTTTCTCGGCATTGAAAAACCGGGCTTGGTCTCCATAGAGTTTTCTGTTCACAAATGAAAGTAAGAAAAAAATGTTATCTAAAACAAACAAACAAACAACAACAACAAAAACATACTAATACTAGTGAGCGGGATGACTGACCTATAAACAGATTCTCCTCCGCGACCAGTACCAGTGGGGTCTCCGGTCTGAACGATAAAGTCTCTCTAGGGGAGGAAGGTTAAAAACATCACAAATACATCTAATCTTAAAAGCTGGAGGAATTAAAAAGAAAAAAAAACACTTTTTCAGATGTCACAATTACAATGTTTTTAGGGAGAGAATAATTGTAGTTTAGTGCTTAATCGTTGTTTTCCGTTTTCGAGAAAAAAAAACAAGTGACTGATCTGACACTTAATATTTCTATCCCATCTTTATCATTATCACATTTGTGATGCTTTCTATGCTAACACAAATTAGCACAATGAATAGCATCAACACTACACTATCACGGGGCAAGATAACCCGGCTTCCCAAGAGACATGCCCATATTATTAAAAATCTACGTAAACAATAAACACTTGTTATAGGACAATTATTTTCAATGTACTGAATATTCGAACATAAATCTTACCTGGACGCTGTGAATGAGACAGTAGTTGTAGTACTTTATCTTGCATAATTTTAGAAAGTTGAGGCACGCTACAAGAGAAAACGGGCAGCCATAAGTTCAAAAATACCAAGCGACTAAGTGAATTTATTGATATAAAAAATATTTAATATATATATATAAAAAAGGTATAGTTTTCACTACGTTAGCATTTTTGCATACTCTGAAACTGAAACATAGCGACTATAGCTAGCAGTTGCTAACAACTAGCTGTTGCTAACAGCTAGGAACATTTAGACTGAATTTCGTCTTACTTTTGGGCCTCTCTTCTGTATATAAATCAATCACAATATCCCCAAGTGTTGTTTCAAGTAGCACCGCCATGACGACGTCCCCAATTGTCCTCTGCGTTTCAACGGGCCGTGTAACTAGCGTAACCGAACTGCTACTACTGCCCGATTTACAGTATAGCCCGATTCGTCGCCATCTTGGACAGCGTCATACGGGGAAACCCACTTGGACAAACTTAATTTGAGCACATCATTGAATATAGAAATTCAATTGAATATTTTTTCAATTTACTCACAGGGATATTAGCGATTTACATTAATAGAAATTGTAATGAAGTTTAAAAATTAAATGTTTTATTGTCATCAGCCAACTGGTGGACGACACTACAGTAATCCCTCTTCTATCGCGGTAGTTGCGTACCAAGACCTAGCGCGAAAAGGGGAAATCCGCGAAGTAGAGGCGAGATAGTTATTATGTTGTTTACGTATATATTTACCTTTTCATTTTACTGCGCATAAATATGGTGTCGCTACTTCGCGGAAATTCAGTTCTCGCGGAATATATATATATATATATATATATATGGGTTGGTATTTTGGTAGTCAAAGTGGAAACTACAAACAAGAACACATTCAGCGGTAAGTGTTGTAACAGGGTAACAGGGTTCTTAAATGGTGTTACGGACAGGAACTGAGTGTAAACTATAAACTATAAAAAAATCTGTTTAGTTACATTTTATTTTGTGCCTGTGAGTAATTACATTGTATGGAATTGTTTTAATTACAGCTCGCAGTGTTACGTAGATAATGTACCAAATCAAGCACATAATTACATTCATGATTAATTCATTTACAGTACGCCGAAGAATTCCTTCCGTGTGGAAACAATTGTGATGTGCAGACAACTTCAGGAGCCGTCAGTGAAGGATGGACATAGCATGTTCATTACTGGAAAAATCGCTGAAAAAAACAAAAAAACCACGAATATTCCTTACTACATAGTATGATCCTTTATTGTTACCATTTGCGAAAATAAACGTAATTAAAAAAAACAGTTTGCTGAAAAATCCTAGATTGAGCGTGATTATTTTCTCTTTTACAGCATGTGCTCAATTGGGTAACGTTTTAATATTCCCCCTGTTTTCAAATGTAAATGTAAAAAAATAAACAAAATAAATAAAGTTGTTCTCCCTTTAAGGATTAAAAAGTAAAAATGTTAAGTTAAAGTTCATACATGAATCAGTGAACACGTTTAAAACGTCTATATTCTTTGGTTGTGAAAAACCGCGTCAGAGTGAGTGCTCTTTCCGTTAGTTCCAGTGTGTTTTCCGTTGCTAGCTCAGACAAACACACGCAAAATAAAAAGTAATCTGATATACTTTTGCCTCGGAGAATGTTTATCTGTAAGTATTATTTGTGACCAATTTGTGTCAAATGACTGTATTTCTGGAAGGAATTTAACATGTTTTCTGACAATATACTCTGCTAGTTTTCAACAGATGCTAACTTTTTACATTTTGCCAATTGACAGATGCTAATTGAAAAGTACTTAAACATTGTGCAAGCAAGGCATAAGTGCATTAAGTAAATTGTGTTTCTATCTCTGTATAATTTTCAGTTTTACGGATTGAGTTGGAAAATATAAGACTTCATTAAAGGACAAGAAAAGTCAAGTCTTGTGGGTTTTTTTTTTTTTTGAAGGATTCTATCTGTTATCTGACTGTCTAGCTTTGCTGCTACCCTAAACCTTGAGAGAACAGATATTTACAGGGATTTTCTGTGTAGGCTCATGTGCCACCACTCTGAACACAGTGATAAACAGGTATTTATGGAGATTTGATGTGTATAATAACGTGCTACCACCAACAACACTACGGGTAGGAAAGAAAATCAGAACACCGGGCGCAGTGCAGGAGTACGGAGCCCCAAAAGCACACGTGTCAAACTCAGGCCCGGGGGCCAAATCTGGTCCGCAGTGTAATTATATTTGGCCTGCGAGACCATATCAAATATGTACTAGAGTTGGTCCGCCAGTATATAGACCCTATATACTTCAGAATTTGTAGTATTAGCGTATGTATGCGGTATGTTATAGCTTTCAGGTACGCGCATCCCAGTTTTTAATTTTGGCCCACTGTGAATTTGAGTTTGACACCCCTGCCCTAAAGGGACAAGGGAAGAAAAAAAAAAGAGAAACATATTTCGTGAGCACGAGAAAGTATATCTAAGACATTTTGCCACAGGGTAATACATTAAAAAACAAAACAATCATGTACAGTACGTACGGTTAGGAAATCTAAGATACCGGCATGTCATGCGTGACGTATGTACTGTATATAAGGTGAGCATTTAATTAATGTAGGGTACCTCAGTTAGACACAGGAGGGCACTGTTGCTGTTGTTGTTCGACTGTTGATAACAGTGTAGGGAGGTTCGTGAAGGGTAAATAGTATTTATAGTATTTACCCTATTTATACTATAAATACTATATAAATAGTATTTTATAGTAGTAGGTAGTACTATAACTTCTATTTATAGTAAATAGTATTTATTTACTAAATACGTATATACGTAAATCATTAATAGCTACAGTATCTCGACTCTACTTCGCGAATTTTCCCATTTCTTGGGTCTTGAAAAGCAACGACTACATACACTGGTCCCTCTCCTATCGCAGTCGTTGCTTTTCAAAAAATTTGCGAAGTAGAGTCGAGATAGTTATTTTGAGGGTTTAGGAGGCATCGTAGTGCGTTAAATTCACCAAACTTTCACCAAACACAAGAGCACAAACGGACAAGGGAAATGCTGAGAACTGCTACGACTCATGAGCCAATCAGCGTGAGGAACAGAAGAGCATGCTCAACGCTGTGTTCGATCTCCTCTAGGTAAACAAAGCTACCAGCGATGTATTTTTACTGTTTATTTTTTAGGTTAGAAATGTTTTTTTAAAATCACAGAAATAATGAAAAAAAATTTTACCGTAAAATACCGCAAGATTGGACTAAAAAAAATCTGCGATGTACTGAGGGAGCAAATGGAGAACTGCGATATGGAGTAGGACCGCTGTATTTGTACAAGCGTCAAATTCCAATAACAATTGAAAACATAAAAAAAAATCCTCTATGCTCCAGGGTTAACTTTCAAATTGATGTGAACTATTTTCGTTTCACGATCCTACGCTAAATGACATCTGGGTTATCCCTATCAAGTCAGAAATCAAATACCTTGGAACAGAGGTGGGACCAAGTCATTGCTTTGCAAGTCACAAGTCTCAAGTCTTTGCACTCAAGTCGGAGTCAAGTCTCAAGTCAAGACAGGCAAAGTTCGAGTCGAGTCCAAGTTAAGACTGAAAAGTGTCAAGTCCTGCCGTTTCCGTTTCGAGTCCTTTCAAACAAAATAATGACATATTTACACAGATCACAGCCACTTGGTTTTTTGTTGACCACCTCGTAGTTTTTAAATCCGAACGTCACGATCTTTGGTATCATTTCCTCTCACCCACTCGTCGTTTGACAGCTCTTCCTCATTGGTTGTCCCGCAATTTGACAACGTGGGTCTAATTTGATTGAACGTTGTGCCGACAGCACATACACACACGCACACAATGAGGGGGACAGAGCGCTCCTTAATAACTTACTTTATCACCTTTGGGTTTTGGGTAAAGTATCAAGTCTTGTCAAGTCAAAGGGCCCAAGTCCAAGTGAAGTCACGAGTCACTGATGTTAAAGTCCAAGTCAAGTTGCAAGTCTCTTTCTATTTTGTCAAGTCGAGTCCAAAGTCGTCAAATTGATGACTCGAGTCCAAGTCATGCGACTCGAGTCCACATCTATGCCTTGGAATATACCATAGAAAGAACACAAAAGTCAGTACTTGAATGTAGAAATTAAATTCATGGCCCCTTCAAATAACGATGTTGCCAAAAAATAATATTTTTTGGCAACTATACACGTCCAATCACATCAAAACATACTGAACCTTAAGCAGTGCTTAAGCTTAGTGTGCTGCAACATACTCTAAAAACAAAACAAACAAAAAAAAAACCATGAAGGTGGACTTTAACATCTCTAAGTATTTTATTAATTTAATGTATTAACAGAAATATATTGTTATTGTTGTTGACACATTTTGATATCTCACAAAAGGTAAATAAAACCCGCACCCAAAAGTACAAACACAAAAAATATTCAGGGGGGAAAAAAAAAGAAAGAAAATTAAAGGGTCAATGTTAGATAAAAATCCTTTTTCAAGAACATCTCCAGGAGTTTTGGTTCTCAGCAGGAGCCAAACTCTTCAATCCAGTTCTCATATTTCTCCAAGTCGGTGACGGATACAGACTTGGATACTTTCTTTAAAGCCGACTCAAAGTCCTGCATGGTTGTGGGCATGTGCATCTCATCTCGGGAAATGTTGCAGATCTCCTCTTGTGTGAGGCCCTCGATGAGACGCCTCATGGCCATCAGGGAGGCATCTCTAAAGTGGACGTCAGCATATTTAATACGTTTTTAGACTTTGACGTTGATGTTTTACCTGCATTTCATTTGGATTTCATTTCGAATGGGTTCACCTGCACACGTTGGTGATATCAGCTCCCGAGTATCCCTCCATTTTGTCAGCTATTTTGTCCAAGTCAACATCATTGGCCAGCTCCAGCTCCTTCAGATTGATCCTAAGCAGTTCTACTCGACCCTTAGCTGCAAGTAGGGAGGGAGAAGCAGAGCTGGATGTAGTGCCAGAGAAGGTACAATAGAACTCACCGAAATAAAGCTATGCAGAATTATGCTTTAGCACAGGCGCGGGCAAACTTTTTGACCCACGGGTCGTACGCAAAATTTGACAGGGCGGGCCGAATCAGGAGCAGATACATGGAGTATTCGCATGAACTAAGACAAATGATGTGCAAACATCACGCGTAAATGAGACAGACAAATGATGTGCAAACATCACGCGTAAATGCTAAAATGCTAACATGCTGTTAGCTTTTGCTACACTATCAATTGAGGAAATGCAGGCCATGCTGTTAGCTTTTCTACACTATCAATTGAGGAAATGCAGGCACTGCAGGGAAAAGGCAGAAGTATAATGATAGAAACCAATAACATCATTTAGACCAGTATGGCAGGCCCGGATTAAAAAGCCAAATGGGCCGCATCTGGTCCCCAGGCCGTAGTTTGCCCATGCCTGCTGTAGCATATATTTTACTAAAAGAAAGAGATGAAGAAAGATTGAGCTACTTGAAGGCAAAGGGATGTAGATCCTTTTCTCCAGACGTCTCCTCAGAGCTTCATCGATGTCCCAGGGAAAGTTAGTAGCAGCGAGGACCATGACCATCTTTGACAGGTCATGGTTTTCCGTAGCTCCTCCCACACCTTGGAAATTGAATGGGAAAACAGGGATACAATAAAATGCCTTCTAACATTTGTGCATCCATATCAAGACTTTGGACTGTATTTTTTTTTTTCTCTGTCAGTATGCAAGAATGCATTCACGCCACCGTACCGTCCATCTGCACCAGGAGCTCCGCTTTAACTCTACGACTGGCTTCGTGTTCCTCGGACGTTCCTCTGCGGCTGCACATAGAGTCAATCTCGTCAATGAAGATTGTAGTGGGGGCATAAAAACGTGCCTGTAGTTGCATCCAACACAATTCATTAATTCAGAACTTGTATCTGAGAACCTACAATGCAATCATTCACTGTTGCTTTTGTCACTTTGTCCAGCGGGACACCTGGTCACCCTACTGAGGTCGTCGAAACGAAGTCTTGGCGCCAACTATATTTTCACTTCACGTCTGTCACAGCCCCATAGTCACTAAGTACAATCGCGTACCGTACGTACTCGCGTATTAGCCGATTTGCGTATAAGCCGACCTCTGAAAATCAACAAAGAATTACAAAAATGTAATCTTGGCAAACACTGTTTACGTTACAATTGCGAAGATTTCGCCAACGTTTGTTGCGAAATTCAGAATAGATGTGTTTCTTTGCATTACTAATACTACGATGAAAAACGCTGCCCTGCGTTTTTATGCGCATATAAGCCGACCCCCCCATCTTTATTTTTTTGTGTATTAAATTTGGCTTATATGCGATTATGTACGGTACTTCATCGTTTTGAACTATCAGTTGGCTGTCAAGCTATTGTAGCTTTCTATTGAAGCTAGATTTTGCAGAGATTGTGAAGACACTAGGAATCTTGTTGATGCTTTTATAATAATTTCTACAACGCTGACCTTTAATCAAAATTGTCCTGTATAATATTTTGTGTTAAAAAAAAGCAGACAGATCATTGGTGGTGGGGTTTTTTTTTTTTTTTCGTACCGTCATTGAACTCACCATTTCAAAAAGCAGACGCACAAGTTTCTCAGACTCTCCCCGGTACTTCGAGGTCAGAGTGGAGGAGGAAACGTTAAAAAATGTCGTTTTGCACTCAGTAGCAACCGCTTTAGCCAAAAGTGTTTTGCCTGTCCCCGGAGGTCCCACCATGAGTACGCCCTATATGAACAAAAAGACTGTCAGATAACTGAACATACAACGCGCATACCCAATAACAAAACCCCGCCCACCTTCCATGGTCTTCGTATGCCTTTAAAGAAAGCTGGCATCCACATTGGCAACACCACGGCTTCCTTAAGGAGTTTTTTCGCATCTTCCAAATCTGCGATGTCATCCCTGAAAAGAAAATACAAACGAAACGAGTAAATAAAACAGGATTGCGTGAGTGCAATGTAAAAGGTGAGACTCTCGACTGAAAGACGGAGACATTTTGGAAGTGATAACTTACCATTTAATATTTGGATTCTGAGTTATTATGTCTCTCTCCAGCGCTTCTACGAGGTCTTTGTCATATCCCGTCCCATCAAACCTTTTAATGTCTTTTTCCTGGGTCTCTGCTTTGTTCTGGAAAAGGCATAAAATAAGAGGCGAGAATCTGCTGGTTGGTCCGTTTATAATTAGACAGAAGATGGCAGACTAAAGCTAAAACGGTAAGTGTGGACATTTATCTTAGCATAATCAGTTGGGTTGGAACGATAGGCAAGAAAGATTCAAAAGTGTGACCAAAGCCGTGTGATTCACCTTATCATCTTTTGTTTTGCCAACCGCTTCCTTCGCCTCCTTCTTCTCTTTGCCTTTAGTCGGTTTTCCTTTCTCCAAGTTGGCTCCCCGTGACGAGTGCCTCTGCTGGGCCCGCACGGCTGCACTTAGGCGGATGTTGGAAGGTTTGATCTCCTTATAAGGGTTAGACGGACGACTGACAGTACAGGCGGAATGTCTGTAAAGGAGGTGTGGGGTACAAAGCGATTAAGATTGATTGTCAATCATTGCATTTCTTAAAAAAAAAAATCTAAAACAGTGGTTTCCCAACCCCCGGTCCGGGGACCGGTGATGGTCCATAGGTCATTTGGTAATTGGCCATATGCCCCCTTCCTTCTCTCACTTTCTCAACGTGTCAATGTGAACGAGAAGAGTGGATGCAAACAGAGGCGCGGCGCAGCAGCGCAACACTGCAAACATAAGTGAATTAAGTGTATTGTTTGCACCCTAATCCCTCCCCCCGCCTAATTTATTTGTCTCTCTTGTGATGTAGCCTGTCTCATACAGCATTGCTTCCCAAAGACTGGTTTGCAACCCTCAGGTGGGTCGCAAGAGTTTTTTTTTTTTTGGGGTCGCATCATGTTTCCCAGGAGTTTACAAATAATGGGTTGGGTCATGAAGGTTTGTGACTTTTAAAATATGGGTTGTTCATTTAGGAAACGCTGTCATGTAGCGCCAAACAACTTTCACTTAAGTAGAAGTATAAAAATATTTGCCTTCAGAAACTTTTCTGTTTCTGTTTAACCTCTGCTGCGGACAAGCACAAAGTGAAGGGAGTTAGCCCCAGGAGCTAATGTTAACTTCGGCCCTGGAGCACATCACTAAGTCTACCATGTGCATTCCAACTACGGTCGGGGAGCCGAAGCAGGAAAGTGTAACCTGCCTTGTTACAGGCACTGTTCGAAAAAAGGATTTATTTGATTAAAAGTGAAAACAAAAAAAATTCTTTCAGGTACGCTCAATAGTCTGGGAATTACGGTAATCTCCGAGTCGATTTTTGGTACAGTCCTCCTGATGAAAAGTACCAAGTGCTAACGGTGATCTTTTCAGAACACCCCCTGTTGTTTTCACTTACTTGGTATAGCCCAACCCACAGACAGACAGATTGACTAAGTAAAAAGCCTAGGTCAGGTGATTGGCTGAATATTTATTTAACATCTAATTTACAGTCTCCTCTACCATGTCAAAGACAGTGTGGAAGTATTTAGCTAAAATAGATAACGATAAAAAAAAAAAGTGGAATGAAAAGTTTGCATATCCCAGCTCAACTACAAACATGGAAATATACCTAAAAACAGTAAGACAATTTGTCTGCGTCATACGGAGGGACATGGGAATTTTTTTTTATTTTTTTTTTTACTTTATCGGGCTCACGAGAAACCTTAAGCACAGGCAGTTGTGCGTCCTTTGCGTATGCCCCAAGGCTTTTTCTTTCGTATAATCCAATTACATATAAGTTTCACCTTATTTCGTAATAAGTTTCATGTAATTACGTGATAGCACATTACAGTGGTCCCTCTCTTTATCGCGGTTCTACTTTCGCTTCCACGGTACATCGCGGATTTGAAAAATGTTTTAATTTCCAATAATTTCATTATTTTTGTGAAAGATAATCATTTTCTAGCCTCAAAGGGAAAGGCTGTATTTAAATAAAGAAAAAGACATTTGCCACACATACATACAGGGTAATATATATAAAAAAACCCAGTCATGTACAGTATGTAAGGTTGGGAAAATTAATGTAGGGTACCTCAGTTAGACACAGGAGGGCACTGTTGTTGTTCGACTGTTGATAACAGTGTAGGGAGGTTCGTAAAGGGTAAATACATATATACGTAAATCATTAATACCTCGACTGTACTTCGCGAATTTTCCCATTTCTTGGGATCTCGACTGTACTTTGCGAATTTTCCCATTTCTTGGGTCTTGAAAAACAACGTTTCTTTTTCTTTTTTTTCCCTTCTCCATGTCCTTTAGGGGCTCCGTAGCGTCAGGTTGCTCCGTCCGTTTTGATTTTATGATCATATCAGATATTAGCATATTTCAATGTTTTTGTTTTACTCTAATAAATTGTAACTGCAGGCACACCCAGCACACTGAAATGGAAGTACGGAATAGTTGCAAAAATGCAATTTACTAACCAAATATTTCTCATTTTTTTCTCAGAGAGTAATAAAATAAAATAACTATGTTATTTATGTGGAAGCAAAGTTTACATTTAATCTGTTTTGGGGAGCAACGAACACATTAAAAAATAAAACAACGGTAAGGTTGTATTTAAACAGTCGACGGTGTGTGACAATACCGCGATACCTCTGTTCCACATGTACAGGCCTGGCATCAAAGTCATCGTTACTCAGCGCCGGAGGTGCTGTGTCCAACTGAAAGTTCTCCAGAGTCGACATTATATCCTGAACCTGTTGCTTTTCTTCGAAGATTTCTTGACACAACTAGAAGAAAAAAAACAAAACAAACAAAAAAAAAACAAAACAGGATCATTTAATGAACAACAAAAAGTTTCCTTGTTGACATGACATCCACCTTATTCCTGTCAACACAGTGTCACTGGCATCAAACCTATGTGGCTGCATTGCTAGCAGCGGCTGAGCCGCTAATGCTATGTGTACTTTGCGCGGAAAGCATGAAAATGCAACAGGGTCTACACAGCCTGCCATCGCTACCAGTTTGGCACAATCATTTTAGTGAGGCTTAGTGGTTAGGGAAGTGGACTTGGGTGCGGAAGGTTTCAGGTTCAAATCCGCCAGCTGCCAAATTGCCACTGATCACTTTGGTGATGGGTTTAATGCAGAGGTCACGTTTTGTTGTGAATTATTATAACATGATAATTACAATTCATAACCACCCCTTGCACTAATATCACTTGGCTCATAATATATAAATATGTTAACAACAGACTCGAGTGTGTAAATAATTTCAGTGCAAAGTAATTAGCTCAAAAACAATTCAATACGAAGCAAATCGACTACCAGGGCCTCATGTAGTAACCTTGCATACGCGCAAAAAAAGTTGCGTACGTCCTTTTCCACGGTCACATTCAGATGTATCAAACCTCAAATGAGCGCAGAAATGGGCGTCGCCTCGGGTACAAACGTTGCGTCCGCGCAAAAAAGTTGTGTACGTCGTGTTTCGCGATTGCGTTCCGATGCATCAAAAATAAAATGAGCGTAGGACTGTGCCTCATCTACAGATGTGCGCCATTGGCGACAAAGGCGATGCTAGGAATCTGCTAATAAATGTCAAAACAAGTAGTCATCGGAGCGACGAGCACATCAGAGACACACTTATGAACGATTAACACGCGACCGTGGACATAAAAGAATGCAACAAGTGTTGAAGAAAATGTTATTAATAATTGCAGTAGTGTTGTTAGAAGATCTCGCAATAAGACGGGAGTGTGTATTTATGGAACACAGGGATCAGGCGGATTCGTCCCAAGGGCGCAACGCAGCGTGGAGCCAGGGGCCGTCGGTGCACACACATGTGCTGACTGCGCTGGGGTGCCTGGCAATAGGTGAGCTTTGGCGGAGCCGGCCAATCGAGTGTCCCAGTCAACGCTCAGCCGAGTCACGCTGGCTGTGCGGAAGGGAATTATCCGAATGATATCAATGTACAACCAAGGTCCCATACAATGCCGTTGGGCAGGCCAACATGAAAGCGCTGCCCCGACCAACAGCGTTTACGGCCTAGCACAAGCACACACACACACACATACTTGTTCATGATGAATTCACCTGCAGAAATACTGTTTAGGATAATAAACAGCTAGTGCTTGTCTTAAATGGTACGTGAGCCCTGGAACATGGTTGCCATAGTAACACACCTGAGGTGGAAGTTCATTAAGAGAAGAACCCACTCCCACATCAAACTTGTTTGTATGTCTGTATAAATCCAGAGGTGTTGGGACAGTTGGTCAGTCAGCGCTCCTGGCATAGGTCCTGGGTAACCGGCTTGCGGGGGCAACAGTCTGAGCAGGGACACCCAGACTTCCCTCTCCCTCGACACTTCCTCCAGCTCTTCTGGGGGGACCCCAAGGTGCTCCCAGGCCAGCCGAGCGACGTAGTCGCTCCAGCGTGTCCTAGGTCTCCTCCCAGAGGGACGGCCCACGAGCACCT